AAAAAAAATCTAAACATAAATACCCCTCCCTTTCTCACCGGGTGCAAGGAGAGCTGTCTAGAATAAGCTTCCACCAGCTGTTTTTAGCGTGTCATGACAGGGTCCTGGAAACAAATACAGTGGAACCAAAGAATTTGAATCAAAAAGAAAGTCAAACGACTTATTTAAACTTTACAAAGACGGATCAAGTAACCTCACCCACTACCCTGGTCCGGGGGGGCAATGGGGGCCAGGGCCAGAACCTTCATTTGGACTGCCTCACGATGCTTCACGGGACTGTCCTCCCGTTCCATTCCATTTTCCAGACAAAACAATCAACAATCTGATCAGACTCTGACATCATCTCGAGTGAGACGCGTTACCCTCCCGGCCGAGACTGCGAGACCCCTCGGAGCGGCACAGGAATTGTCCCTGTGACTTCAACTGCACCGGTGCCCCCCCGAAAGAGAAAGAAAGGAGACGTGTAACGACTCTGTAACGACTGCACAAAAGAATGCTTTGGGCTGCTCTAAGGGGGGAGCGGCTTGTTCCAGAACCGCCAAATCTCAGGTCACTTTCGTGAGGTGAAAGCAGGGGAGAAAGTCCTGCAAGCCTTACTACTAATAACAAAAAGATACAAAAAGCTATTAGGTTCTCCTGGCCTTACTAAACTTACTACTAGGAGCAAGGACGCTATTAGGGGCTCCTGGCCGTACTACTAGTAGCAAAAAGCTAGTAGTAATGTTTCCACACCTGGAACTTTGGCACCCCTGGATCTGGTCGGTCCATCGATGTTGTACCTTGTTGGGATCCTCTCATCGAGCAACCAGTTCTCAAACCGAAAAAAAAAGCACTCATCTAGAACTCTGTCCATCCAACGTGTGGTGTGGGTCGCCATATTTTTCATGTCACCATTGAAGCATAGACCAATCCCTGCTATCACAGACTGTCCTCTGTTCTTGCCCCACCCGCGCCAGAACGGCCCACACTCCGGGAGCCCCGGACAGATCCAGGGCCTCCTCTGCCAGGGCCAACTCCTCCTCGACCCCTGCGGCATCCGACAGATCCAGGGCACTCCAGAGGTGGACTGACGTATCAAGATCTGGAACACATGAGATGTTTCTTCCTCAAAAAAACTGGAAGGGTGTATCAAACATGTATCAGTCTTCTGACACATTGTCCTCCTTCTGAGAGGTTCAGTCGGCGAATCGGGGAGAATCGGCGCAAAGCGGGTGGATCCAGTTGATCGATCTTTGTTTCGGAGAAAACCAGTCTAAAACGGGAGACCTTGAGGGGTCCCACTTGCTGGGAGGCGGAACCAGGACCTGGACGCCGTTGTACAGGTTCTTCAGGTCCTATAGGTGTTGAAAAGGAAGCAAAGTGGGGCATCCTTCAAGAAAGAATGTAGGTTTTTTCTTAGCAAAAAAAACTTGTCGGTTCATGTTTCAACCCGAATTTCTTGCGAGCGTCTACTCTCCGTCTCCCTCTCTGTTCTCACCTTCAGGAAACTCCGCGAGTGGCCGTGACCGTGACCGACATGGTCACTGGCAGGAAACACATACCCCCGATGGCCACTCTCCAAGTTCCTTCTCCTCTCCCAAAACTCAACTTGCACCCCCCCTTCCACGCAGACGGAAGATATGTCTTCTCCTCTCCCAAACCATTCCTCCATCTTCCTCATGTCTCCCTTCTCCACCTCCATCACACTGCCGGCTCTGTGCGGCGCGGCGCAGCAGCGCCCGGCAGTCTTCGCCCTCCTCGACGCCGGCTGCTCGAGCGTCCAGCGGTTTGGATGGGAGATCCGAGTGCCAAACCGTCCAAGCAACCATGGCGCTTCTCATCACTGGAGGTTCTCCACATGTCAACCATAACCAGTCCCACATTGAGAGGTACGCACACTCCCTTGGATCGCTTCGACGTGCGAAGCCGGATCCCTTACCTACATGCAATGTGCCTGATCATGAAGCAGTGCAACTCTGAAGCTACTTGATGAACGCCCCAAACAAGCATCCTCCATATCCATAGCAGCAAAACGGCCTATTCTCATGGCTGAAGCAACACAGGCGGTTGCCCGCAGGTTTGCTAACAACATCCTGTCCCTGTCGAGTAGGACCTGTACTGTCGTGCAGACTCAATGTGAGATGATGGTTGAAGCGCGGACCCTTCTTCAAGCCTAAGACCCCTAGGACCCCCAGGACCGCTGGGACCTAGCCGCCTGGCCGAAAGGCCCCACAGAGTGCCAAGAAGCGGAACTCAAAGAAGCTAGCACAGCCTTGGAGGACTCGGAACGGAGAAAGGCACCGTTTCTGTGCCAAGCCCACATCGGGAGAAAGGCGAACGTTTCCCAACTGTCGTGGAGCGGTTTGGTGTGGGACCGGTTGCAAGAAGCATTCCTTGTGAGGTCTTCCCTCTTTTCATGTATCCGAATGGATCCTCTGCGAGCTTGGAGAGCCTTTTTTCACTTCTCATACAGACTTAGGTTTGGATCTCCTACGAAGCCAGGGCCTTTGTGACAGCTGGGAGACATCGACCCGGTGCTTGGATGGTTCAGACTTCCATACCAAACATCAAAGACCTTTGCTACATGCAGTAAGGTCTCCCTCTGCGCCAATGCGATGCTTCTCGAGTATCTCGAGTGCCCAATACAACGAAGCATCATGGAAACACTGGGCTTCATCAGCCTTTTATGCTGTGGCTTTCCTCGATCAAACATCGGTGTTTAAGAAAATGCTGTCATTCTGTCATATAGCATACACCTTGTCAAGTAGATTAGCTTCAATCAAGCCTTTAGCTCAAATATGCTTCACCAGTCTAGTCAAAATTTAAGCTTCTATCTACAGTAATCCAAACCAAAGACCCGCCTAACAGCCTAACCACACTTCCCCATCTCACCATCCCCCATCCCCGTCCCGTCCCAGAAACCGCGAGCTCCGCCGCTCGCGTCGGCGCCGCTTCGGCCACGGGAGGGGGTGCCAGGTGCGTCTGGAGCAGCATGAGCTTCACCGAAGGGCTCACCTCGGCCGCCGAACCGCGGAAGGGAAGAGGCGCCGAGCTGAAGGGAAACGCTTCAAGCGCTTCACCGAAGAGAAGGCGCTTCACCGGCCAAGCTGTGCTTTTTGGGGGGAAAGAAACAAATCCAAATGTCGGAATAACTTCACATCTCAAAATGTCGAATCTGGAGAATCGCGTCATTGGGCGAAGGTCAAACTCATCCAACGACCCGGTCACTCAGGCTCCCCACGCTGAAGCCCATGGGCGGCTCCTCCGCCATGCTGCCCTGGCCAATGGAAACATTGGAATATGCCACCCCCCTGCCTCCCAAAGGAGCTGGAAACATGAAAGTACGAGATTTTGTTGGTGGGGGTGCTTGTGAAGAAACAGTCCGTGTTGGACAACACACTGAGCCACCCATGTTTCGAAGCTTCAAGGGTCACCATTGTCAGTTTCTCCAACTGGTCTTCATGGCCCTGAAAGAAAGCCCACCCTCTGGTGCACCGCCCAGCAGTCATCCTCCAATTCGAGCTTCATTACTTGCTACCTAACAAGGCCCTAAATGACAGCCCATAAGTCCCATGAAGCTCTCCCTCAAACAGGTCTTGTGACCCAGCTCTTTTAGTGGGTGAGACATCTGGGTGAGACCATGAGGAGCCGCTCGCCGTCTTCGGCAGGGACCGGTCGCTCCCTTTGTGCGGCTCAACACCATGCTCAAAGCAGAGACACGGGTTCCAGGGTACACAACATGAATCACCTGAAAACTTGAATCACCCACTAAAAGCTGAACAATCACCTAGATCAAGCGCAGTGGATCCTTGCTAAGACTCATCTGCTTCGTTTCCTGGGAGAACCACTCCATCTGTCAGCTCATGCGCGGCTCGCTCCGCGCTGTCAAAGCGTGGCAAAGGCCAGGATCCCGAAGAACATGATCTGGGATTGCCGGGACGCGCGGGCAGCGAGCGAAGCGGTGACAACCGCCGGCTAAACCGTCGCCTTTCTTGTGTTTGGGTGCACCCCAGTCTGTCATGGCTGGAGCCCAACCAGTCCGTAGGCCTGCCGTCGGTATGTACTGTAGATCAACCGTTCGGTCTTCTGGTGCCATGAGTCAGACGCCAAGAATGAATGGATTCTGTGCTACCGCTCTGATACAAGTCGTCTCCCCAGAACCACACCAGCTTGCTGACACGGGAGAACCACGTGACGTCAGATTCACGGACCATTTCATTGGACGTCCGACCCCCGGATTCTTGGAACACTGGTCTTTTTTCGGCGTCCTCCGGCGTCTGCGATGTATGGTTCGAACCCTAAACCCAAAACCGTCACTTGCTTCATCACCATTGGTGGGGCCAAATAAATCCGGCATCCGTCGTTGTCCCGCATCACTGCCGTCTGAGGTGCCGGGATACTGAGCCTCGGGAGGCCGATTTGTGTGGACCCAGGTCTAAATTCTTCTCTGATGGGGGCTTGAAGGTATAAAATGGATGGTACCAACACACTGAGAGCTTGGTATGTTCACGGCCCACTTATTGTAGAGTGACCAAAGGGCGGCTAGTGGATTTGGGGCTGATGATTGACATTCCCATCATATGCTGAACATGAAATTGGCAACTCATGCAAAATCAATCAAACTGTACATTATCTGATATGTGATTGCTGACAACCTGAGAAACTCATTGGAAAATCCATCAAACTGTAAACGATGGGATGAATAAAATGATGAACTTCACGTCTATAGCCAGGCCTTGCTCTTCTTTTCCTCACCTCTTCACGCGTCACAAATCATCACAGATCGACCCACCCATCAGATGTTATTCACCACCAGGTGGCAGGAAGGCCAATGGCCTCCACACTTCCCACAAAATGGGACCCATTTCCGCCATGTAAATCACCTCAGCCGGATGAGTCGAACGGCTTTCTCATTGGTCGCCCACAACTCTTACGGGTAGGGGTGGAGCAACGGCCTAAGGGCCTAGGATTCTCAAAAGAAAGTGTCTATATGGCCTTGGTGGAGCAGCTTGACCAGAATGTTTAGTCAAGTAGTGAGAAATCACACTCCTTTTGCACCCTGCAAACTCTTCTCTTCGCGGCTTCTAAATCTACTTCTGGCCAGCGGGCATTCCCGGAGCTGCTTTCTATGAAGGGCAGCAGCTATCGCTGTTCAGTGCCAAAGTGTGTGTTGTGCCACCCGGTACTGCACTAGTTTGCAATTGAATGCATTCTCAAAAAGCTGGTCAAGAAGAGCTGATCGTGAAGGACTATGGGACTACGTGCGACTACGTTGATCATTCAAACCTCTCCCAACCACATCACTGCCATCAACAACCACGCAGTTCACTCATCCAGTCCTTGCAACCCAGCAGCCAAGACAAGCATTATGAACCACCACACGCTGATGAGGACGACTTCTGGCTTCTGCATCTGGCACAGCCCATCGTTTTGACCGAATCCCGAGCCCTCCGGGCGCGGTCGCCGAATCCCGGTGTCGGTGTGTTCCGGTCGCCTTGTGCAGGAAGACCTCGAGGAATCCTCGTCCTTGGGAGCCAGACCCATCAGACCTACCAGAGACCGATCAAAAACCATACCGGAGACCCCATGTATACTGTGACCAGATACTGTTATCCACATAAATCCACATATGTTAAGATACCCGGACCCAAATACTGTTTGTGTAGGTGCGAAAGGAAGTTTGGACCTGTTGTTGTAGAAGCCTGAGGGGTTGAGGGTCTGGCTTGAATCTGGCTTCAGTTGAGATTATAAATGTATGAAAAGCTGCAGCACTTGCTTTGAAGAAGTGATTGAGTCTTAGGGACTGGGGTAGTTACATTTGGATGCGGATGTAGATCTTGTGGTTAAGAGCTACGATCAAAGAAGCTCAGAAAGCATATTTGCTGCAAAGCTGCCAAAACCATCACAAGCACTGCACTTGGAAACTGATAGAAACTACAGTGTGGCTGAAGATTCCGAAGACTTGAAAATGACAAGACAAGCTTGCTCGAAGATATTCCTCTTCACCCTCTTCATCTTAGGGCCCCTGCGGGTTTTCCTCTTCTTCTTCCTGGCTTCTTGACAGCTTCGCGAGCAAAAAAAAACTTTGCCCAAACGAGACCACCCTATTTTGCCTCAGGGTTGACCTCTTTCACCCTGTCCGAGAGCACCTATTGGCTTCAATCTAGCAACTTCTCCCATCTTCCATGACGGGGATCAGATCATGGGAATTCTCAGGAGCGCGGTGGTATGCTTCGGTCATCGAACGGTTCCCTCGTGTGCATACCTGATCACTCCAGCAAACCGTTGTGTCCAACACAAACTAGAGGATAGCGAGGAGGTGGAAACAGCCCAATGGTTGGTTGTTGCTGCTCCCCCTCACCCTGGTTTTGTTCAATCTACTAGTAGCATCCTTCCGAGCTGATTAGTTTTCCAAGCTCGCCAAAACCTGCAAACTGCAACTTCCCCACAAATCCTCAAGCGAATGTCAGATGAAACGGAGAAAAAAAGAGACGACCCCACTTTCGAAGTAAACCCCACCCAAAATCTGGCCTGGGTGGCAGGGACTGCGGCCCCTCCGGCATTGCCTGTGGGAGGGACAACAAGCCCAGGAAAATGATCTCCTCCAACGGTTGGGCCATGAATTTGCCTCTTAGGCCAATGCAACATCGCTGTTTGGGGAAAGAAGGGACCCAAACACCGCAGTGGTGGTGAACCTGGGGGCCGGAGTCGCAGAAGATGCCGGAGTCGCAGAAGGGTTCCGGTTGATTCTTTCAAAAGGTTCTGGGCGTTTTTTGCCTTGTCTTTTCAAGAGAGCACTTCAACCTGCGCTCTGTTGAGTCCAGCTCACGCAAATCAGCAAGCGGAAAATAGAGGGACAACACTTTTCCAAAGGCTCTTTCTAGCAGATCAAAAGGCTGCACACTCCCGAACCTGCATGGTGCCAAACAGGCAGTCGGCTAAGCCGCGCCACTTGAGCCCGTAGCGGCTGTGGTGCGCACAGCACTAGCCCACACAAGGAAGTGGAACGTAGCCCCTCAAAAGAGCATGTTTCCTCTCAAAGGCAACCACTTGAACGAGCAACAGCGCAACCTGGCTAGGAATGAGCTTTGGACTTTGGGTATCGCAGATGTGACTGTTGTCTCCTTCAAACCAAAACACTCCCAGCGTCGCCTGCCCGGTCAGGCTTCGACTCGAGACTTACTCTTTCCCCTCTGGCAGTTCATCAGCGGGGTATATATAGAGGAACATCCCAAGTAGGGTTTCTCCCTAATAGGGAGCTTGGTCACCACAGGTGTACAGACCCCAAAAATGATGGGCAAAGCAAACAAACCATGAAAAAAAACATATCCGGTGCTTTTTACTTCAATAATAAGTTAATAGGTCCAGTGAACCTGGGAGTTTGCAAGGTTCACTTCCGGCCGTGCCATCCCACTCCGCGGCGCGCTCCGCCGCCTTGGCGCCCGCGCGGGGACACACCCCTGGCTGGCGCCGGGGTCCACAGGTGCGGACAGAGTGGCAGATCCACACTTTCGGGTGACCAAAAGACATCGCAATGAAACCTTCGTTGTGAGAAGTCCTCAAATTGGTCCAATCTCGGACTTAACAGGACCCAAGCTCAGCAGGAAGATGCTTGATCCATCATGATCCATCTGATAAACTGGCTGGAGAGGTGCTTTCCAAAATGCAAAGACAATGCTTTGGACTCCTATACAGCCTTGACAACGAGGGCAATGAAGAAACGGAGACCCCACCTCCTTCGAGCCAACCAACGCTCCCCAAAACAATGGATCGTCCGTTTTCTGGCCCAAAACCGGCGCCCGAGCTCGGCCCAAAATCGGCTGCAGAAAAGTTCCATCGAACCCAACTAAGGCCATTTAAACATGACAAGCCTTCTATTAACGGCACAAAAAGAGTCGAAGCAGGTGCTGAATGTGAAGCAGAGTTCAAGGGACTAGGGCCGAAGGGCCCTAGTACCACTCCTACATAGTGGTCGTACTGGCCCTGTTAAGGGCCAGTAAGCCCACCTACTAGGACTGGTACTGGCCCTTAACAGGGCCAGTCCTAGTCTACGTAGTCTTGGTTGGTTTGCTTTGGTGGCTACAACCAAGACTATGTAGGGAGGGCTAACAGCCCACCATGTAGCAACATGGTGCAACCATGCTGCACTGTAGGACTTGTAGCACTGCAATCATCAGGTGTCTTTCGGTTCCCAGAATTCTTCGATTATTTGCATGATTCTGTTCGTATTGGATATTATCTCTACTCCACATAAGCTCACATTTTTGCGATGCCTCGTCAGCCGGAGGTTATTCTTGAGTCAAAAAAATTCGCTGTGTGAGCATTGCTTTCATCGAACCGCTGGTCAGAAGTCAACGCCTTCGATCCTTCAATGAGACTCGTTCTGGGACTTGAACTGATGCATGACGATTTCGATGTAAGCGACGAAGACACACAGTAGCAGTAGCAGGTGAATCGATCTCATCGACTGGTCCAAGAGGATCCGAAAGATCAAAGGGAAGATGTACACCATGGGAATTCCAAAAGTGATGCCTTTCAGATTTAGAATAGCTTCTAGTGTGTCATGGGAATGAATGACCAAGATGTAGGTCAAAATAGAGATGAAAGCAAACAATGCTACAGTGTAATCAAAAAGCTTCGAGAAGATAGGCCAGGCAAGCCCAAACCAATTAAGCCCATTCAGCGTTGCTGCTTCATCATTTGTGAGCCCTTCACATAGTTGCAAACAGGTTCTCGTATCCCATTGAAGACCTTTGGAAAGTCTGCCCACAGGATGATGAGATATCCTCATCTGAAGCAATTTCCAGCGCTCTTGTCCAAGTTGGCCAAGAAATCGCTCTTTGTGTCTGTCCCAAACATCCGAAAACCCAGATTGCCAAAGAGCAAGTAAATGAGCCCTGAGAGAAGAAAGACCCAAATCAAAGTCCATCCAAATCTGTGAAGATCTCGGTTCAATTCATTGAAGTACCGTGGCCCATTGTAATGTGCTGTGAAGGCCACTGTCATTGCTGGCAGTGCTGCAAGCACTTCATGCTCCGTGGTGTGGGATGGCTGGTCTACGGTCTTCACTGACACATCTGACACATAGAAGACCATGAGACAGGTCACAGCAATGGCAAACGAGGAGAAATAGGACAAAGGGCCAATGCGTGTCAAACAACAAAGAGGAAGGACCGCAATGCTGAAGATCAAAAGGGCCGCAACTGCTTCTGTGTGTCCCAAATCCACAAACTTCAGGAGATGCCCAAACTTTGTGAGCTCTGGAAGAACGGTAGTGGCAACTTTCATGTAAGAGACACAAGAGAGCGTGGCATAGAGCATAGCCCATGATTGGCAAAAAGTCCTGAAGAACAAATCAACAGAAGTGCACAGCTCGATGGGATTCATTGACAAACATGAATGTATAAACACAAATTCATGTCCAAAGAACGATGCAAAACCTCGATGAGATGAATCCTAGAGACCCAAAACTCTGCCCAAAACGAGTACCGTAGAGACTTCCAGCATCTTCGGCGATGCCTTTGTAAGTCATCCTGCCGGTGAGCTCGCAGCAGACGGCGAGGTCCCAGAAGGACTTGGCGGAAGCACTGCCCAAGACCACCAGCCACAGCGAAAACTCCTGAGTCTGAGTTCTCAGCAGAGTTTCTCCTTTAAAACCAAAAGCAAATGAAAAAACTGCGTCAGTCAAGACTTTTGTTTTCCTTGGATTGATGAACCCTCTTTTTAGAACTTCAAGAAGTAACAACAAGCAGAAATTCAAAGCTTAGAGTAGCCAAGACACTTCCATTGAGCTTTGCTTCACACAGCAGGGCAAAGCCAGAAAACCTGCACCGATGATGTTGTTGGCCAAATTGAAGACCGTACCCCAGATCGAAGCACCTGGAGCTCCGGTCTCGCCCAACATGGCTTGGTTCATTGCGCGGTTTTGCACGGCCGCTTCGGCCAAAATTTCTCGGGTTTTTCGCTGAGCCGAGAATTGGCTCGAGGAACTTGAGGTTGTCAGGTGGCCACTTATCGCACAAAATGGAAAACCATTCACACAAACCACTTTTTCCGTGTCCATGAAACCATTGTGAAACCTGTTTGGAGTCCAAAAGAAATCAAACTCGCAACAACGTAAGCACTAAACACCAAACAAAGCATCACGTGGCCTTTTGGTGGAAGGTGTCAGAAAGGTACTGCGCTTCAAGCTCCTCAAGGCTCTGCTCAGCGTTGGTTCCGAAAATTCCCAACAACCTAGTCTCCACTGAGTTCATCTGGGCTTTGAAGCCAATCCTTTCATCAGTTGACATTTTAAACACAAAAAAAACACAAACGAAGAAAAAAATATTCCATTACCATCTCCTGAGGATCAGAAGTCTGGGCCTGTCCGCAAGTTTTGAATTGTTTGGTTTCTTGTTCAATGGTTGTCCGATGGGATCCACTGGTCCAAACCAGGTGATCTTCCAAGGACTTACGGCATGTTAAAAGGTTCCAAATCAAACATCAAACAACTACTGAAGAACTCAAAGTCTTCCATCTTCCAAAAAAACACAAACAAACCGGATGCTGTTTCAAACAAAATTGTTCAAAAGCTATGCAAGAGTAGTGCCAAACTAAAATGGCGGCAGATCAATCCTCACGACCTAGCACCCCTGCAGAGAGTGAAGATTCCATGGCCTGCCAGCTTATACTTACCACGCTTGCAGGAAATGAGATACCAATATCAATGAACATTGCACAGCACGATCGGCTTGCTGAACTCGAAGACAACAAAGTGGACTACGCCACTGTCACCATGTCAGACGTATTCGGTTGTGAAGTCGATCTAGTGCATCCAAATACGCAAGAACACCTCCGAGACCCAATATGGAATACTCTTCGAATCAATACAAGCTTTGACCTGGTGGTCCGGGAATGTATGGAAGTCTGTCAATCCAAACGACAATTCCAAGAGAGCGAAGGTCAGGAGTACCCGAAAGCGGTAAAGGTCCCATCCAATATCTCAGGAGTCATCCCGGACAGTGCCTTCTATTCAATCTTCAGGTTAAGACATGTCCTTGCAGAAGAAGGGTTGCACACAGTTGGAGCTCTTGCATGGCGAACTTGTCGTCAACTTCGAATTGTTGAGTTTCCGGCTACTGTAGTGCGTATTGAAGAAAGCTCTTTTCAGGGGTGCTACTTGCTGGGCAGTGTAGAGGCCCCAGGATGTGCAGACTTCGGGTACAGAGGAGCCAACACCTTCGTTGCTGCAACCAAGCTCGCCCCATACCTCTTTGATGGGTGTCTCAATCTTTCTAGCATCACGCTAACACAAGCCTCGTTCGAACTAGGTCAATCGACAGCATTATCCTTGCTTCGAGAAATACCACAAGGATGTTTTGGCTCATCACGGCTGAGATGCCTCAAGCTCCCGTCAGACATTAGCCTGTTAGGCCCTCTCGCCTGTGATAACTGCAAACACCTGGCTTTCGTTGATCTTTCTAGCACTCCGATCACCGAAGTCCGAGAGTATACTTTCTCTCACTGTGTGCGACTTCAACATCTCTGGCTTCCAAAAACACTACAGACCATCCACGTAAAAGCTTTCATGGGCTCAGCTGCTTTTTTCGGCAGTCTGATTGAAGCCTTGCACGCTTGGTGCATGTTTGTTTGCTACAAGCTTGCGGTGGACATCCGCCGTGAGTCGACCTAGCGCCCTGAGACCAACCGTTGTGAACCCATTCTTTGTATTTTGTGGTCTGTCTTAATTTTGGATGAGAGGAAAGAAGGGTGGGGAGATGTTAAGCGAAGATTTGGCGCCGTGGAGCCTGTCATGTTTGCGTATGTTCACAGGAGCCATCTCTGGTCGTTCACTATGGCAAGGAAACCTTGTTTCGCTTTATTTGACGTCGTTGTTTGATGCATGTTGTGAAGGAGGGGGTTTTGAAAAGATATTATTATTGTTGAGGTTTTGAGCTCGCGTCCTTGATGTTTGTTGCAAGCTACGCCAGGCTTCCGTCTATTACAGTGCGCGATACCACCTCGGTACCACTTCATTACGGCTCGGGCCCTTTATTACAATGCGCGGTACCGCCTCGGTGCCGCTCGGGCCCTCTGTTACAATGCGCGGTACCGCCTCGGTACCGCTCGGGCCCTCTATTACA